ATTTCTCTCTCTCTCTCTCTCTCTCTCTCTCTCTCTCTCTCTCTCTCTCTCCTCCCTCCCTCCCTCCCCTCCCCCTCTGATTTGCTCGCCTTCTAGCACTTTCCCTCTTTTATGTTCTCTTGTTGTCTTTACTTTTTTTTCTATCAGACTTTCTACTTCTGTTTGCATCTTTCTAGATCTATAAGTCATGTCGGTAAAGCAGTAATAAATGTGTTGGAATGTTATTACACTTGTTGTGTTACTGAAATATTTAATTTTTAAAAAACCTCAAAGTCGCGGTCGTTCTACATGTATAACTATACTATTATGTAATTAATTAAAGACCAGGACGTTATTATGTTATTCTGTAGTTGTTTGCGTTATCTTTATTAGAAAAGACACTGCACTCGTTGACACCTCCGGCAGAGAGATCAGCCTGTTCCCCTGCTGATGTCGGGAATGTTTTCAGAAATTAAAGGGGCGCCAAAGATCTTCTGGTTGTTCCTAGTCGTGAGTTTTGTCCCTGGGTTTCCTCCATTCATTGCGAATAAATGTTGCCAGACTGAGTTTTTATTTTATAAAAATAATAATAGTTAAAGACATTTTTATATAGATCTAGCGCTCAACCCCGATATTATAGAACTATTATATTATAAAAATTGTAGCCTTCATACTCCCATGTTTCATTTGTTCGTCCTTTTGAACAAAGTACAATAAATCATCAGAGAGTTTGGTATTATTATTATTAAACAAACACCACAATTTACTACATCAGTGTAATGATATGTTCAGTTATTTCTAAACTCGTACACTCTTAGACGATTAGCCTACTACTGTGAATCACAAGATGACACTGTTGTTGAAGATATTTATGGGGGCTCTTGTGGCCTAGAGGTTAAGGTGTTCGCCTCTCATTCAAAGGTCCCAGGTTCGAATCCGGGAAGCGACCGAAACATTTTCTTCTCTAAAACTGTCTCCTTTCACCCCCCGTTCCTGCTCTCTAGCAATATTCTGTCGTCTGCTTTAGTCTCCACTTTCTGCCCCCACCCCCTCATCTCCTTTGCCCCCTCCTATGGGCACCTGACTCTTACTACAGTTTTTCTACTGCTACTTCTTGGCTCCTTCTTGCAGCTGTCTTTCAGCCACAGCCATGATCTTCTAGTAGGAAAGATCTGCATCTGGCCTTCTCGAACAAAGGAAGAAAAATCTCGGAGGTCCCGTGCGCAAGTCGCGCACGTTAAAGATCCCTTGGTGGTCTAAAATCGATAAGA